ATCAATCTGCTTAACATTATTAATTGATCTATTGCAAATATGTGTAATACTGTTTATAAAGACAATCTTTTTGTTACTTAAACTTAATAGGTTTTATTAATACTGAAAAAAATGAGTAAAATGTTGTAACGTTAAAGGAAGGATATGGAGATAACGAGTAGTAATATGAAAGTTCATATAACACTATGGAGTAAAGCATTGTGTTATTAAATTAAACTTTAAACGAATATCATCTAAGACTGTGGTGGAAAGATGCACTGAAACATTAGACGTAGAATGACAATTGGCAATATCTTTTTAACACATATGAGATTTCTAAAATTGTTCTTTAAATTGAAAAAAAAAAATATATATAGGGAGATAACTGTTACCAGAATTAGAGGTCATATATTAGGGCACATTCCACTATTACATTCTAATAGTAATAGATTGAAATTTCATTAAAAAAAAAGCAGAGTATCAAGCTTCCATCTTTCTGTTATGTATTTAAGTTTATTGAATCGGTGGTAATTAGGGATTGAGTACCTTAAATAGGAACAAACAATTAAAAAATTACACGTAAGCACATTAAATTGCCTGGTAGACATCAAAATTTGTTTTGTCTCTAAAAGATGTCACCCTCCTAAATTACGACAATTTGTTTTATTTTCTTCATATTTGCCTACTTTAAGTGTAATAATTAATTTCTATTTCAAACATGTATATTACAAGTGAGTTAAACACTTTAATATTCCTTTTCTCTATTATTCTATGCGCACTGATCACATGATCAAGAATATAATAACATAAAACATGTTACTATTTATAGATTTTGAAAAAAAAACTGTCTTGAAGTATCTTAATATTCATGAAAATAATATATAAAAGAACAAAAGTGTTGACTTAACAAAACTTGTACTTAATATTGTTTGTTGTTTGTGAGAAATAAATAATCCCATGGTCAACTTTTTTTATAATCAGTAATGGTTACATGTATAAGCCGAAAACTGTCCATTATGTCAGTTATTAGACGACCCGAGGCGAGTTAGCGCCGACGCGGGTATGTTAAGGAAGCATATAAGTAATTTCTCGGGAAATTTAGACTTTTTGAAGAAAATTTAGTTTAATAAATTACCAGAACCACTGATAAACGTAAACCGTTATTTACTATTGCATACAGATAAAAGCGTGTCTAACCCAAAGACGTCCATCACCGCCACGACATCACGTGACTTCTATTAATAGTTAAATTTTCCTTAATAAAAAGGCTTACAGAACAACAATACCCCGGAATTTGATAATTTCTTTGAGTATTTAATATAGCTGGAAAACATCTACTTTGTCTAAAAAGTGCTGCTAGAATCCGACTATCTTGTCCGTAAAATATTTATTCCACACATTCGCACGAAACCTTACCCTTTGTTTTGAATTTCATACATATGAATCGAGATTTTTCGTACAACAGTGCTTAACTCGGGATTCTAGCAGCACTTTCCAAGTTTGTCAAAACGCAAACTTTCAATCTGTACAAATCGTATGTTATGAAATATCCAGCTTATTGTTGTTCTGTTGCATTTTTTGGTCAAGAAAGACGGACGATAGGTCGACCGGGATACGTAATTATAGCTGACTGTCCTCGAAAGTGAATATAATCGATGAAAATAAATTAGCATACCTGTTTTATTAATTGAACTCCATATGAATTTAACACAATATTTCCGATATTTCCTTTTAAACTCCATTTTACGTATCTTTGATCATGCCGTCTTAGCCAAATTCTCTTTAACACGACATGATCAATTTCCAAGTTACTCGATGTACACATATGACGTCATCGGTGGTAGATTTCAATCATAATGACTGTTACAGCATAACAAAATAAAAACATTTTAATTTTGTTAATGTTTACACGTTTCTATTCATTTTCTAGAGTTAAATTACATCGCTAAATACCAATATTACGAAAACCTGATTTGTAAAATTGACGTCATCTTGTCTACTATGACGTCATAATGCAGCACTGATTTAGCCAAGGTAGAATATTTTGTATGCTTCCTTATTCCCCCTGCGGAGGAGAGTCTAATATCTGACATAATGGTCAGTTTAAGGCTTTTAACTTACTTAAACATTTCACCACTGTCGAACACTTCCATTGTTAACTTATTGGACAGCCACAGGTAAGGTCTCGTTTTGCTTCGCTGACTACCTGGCACTGTTCATCAAGTTAGGCCAAAGAAAAACAGTTTTGGTTTTTTTTTCTGTCTTTATTAATTTAGGAATCATCGATAAATTTGAACATTAACTTTGTTTGGTCTTACATGTATTTATCCGCATTGCGACATTTTTTATATAAACTACGCATGCGTAAAAGTAAGTTCTACTAAACTTTTTACAATTATTTCATCTTACAACGCAACGACCAAGGATGACGACGTACATTTAAAATTTGAAAAAAAGACGTTCCGAATCGGGACCCGGTGGTTTAATGATGCCATTCATTGATTACACCAAGATGCCTCAGTTCAAGTTTTTACTGTGAAATCTGGATAGATACATGTACAAAATATTCTTATGATTCGGAATTTGCAAGAAACAGTTGAGATTTTACTCCAACAACTGCTTAAGCATTTTCTATGAAATTGGGGATTATTTCTGATGTATTTTTTTCAAAAAATGCAATACTTTCTTTTTTGTGTGCAGGTTTCGAACTCGGACGGATTTTACTCCAGCCACTTCTTAAAACAACGATAGATACTCGCTCAAACACACAGGACTAGATGGACAAATGGTCAGAAATCACCAAACGACATCACAGATTTCGTTAAAATTTCATGAGCTAAACTTTGTGCTAAATGCGGAACAAAATGGATATTTCAATAAACAAAAAGACCAAGGTTGTGTGTAATACATGTAAGTGTAAAAAAAAAAAATCTCATTCATCTTTTATGTCCACTGGTTTCTATATTATATTAATTCCGTGGATCAATCATTTTGAAATGAATCTATTGTATAGCAATGGACGGTGAATTTAGGAACTTTATGATCGGAGCCACGGATGCGTCTACAATAATGAATCTGAGACATTCCATTTGTGCCATTTTCAATAGGAGTTTTTTTTTAAATATTAATATCTAACGCTTCTAATTTCCTACATTGTTCATATTAAATTGTTTGATTTGTCATTGCCTTTTAAGTGCTGTTTACTTATTTGACTCGCCCTTTGTTCTCATTTAAACGTTACCTGTACCTGTCCAATAAGTTGAATCTTATTGGACATCTACAGGTAACTTATTGGACGGGTTGCAGGACAATAACAAATTTATTGAACCAGGTTTAACAAAAATTTTTTTTTAATGATAATCATTGTGTTCTGTAATTATGTTTTTATATACAGTGGCTGGAACGTTATTGTTGACAACTTACACGAACGATCACGTTACACGAACGATTCTGCACGATTAACGCACGATTAAACCGGTTACACGAACGATCTTTCACGTTCACGATTCTACACGTTACACGATCTTGCACGATTGTTAACGCAAACGCACGTTTTTCACTCAAAATAGTTCCAAATATTTAGGAATTAATATTTTCAAAACGAAATAAAACTTAATACATGTACTTCTTTAAGATTTCAAAGATTTATTAATATTATTTCATAGACTTTGAAAAAAAAACGACAAATGATATTTCTTTAACTAAATATATTAAAACTTAATATTTCAGATTGAAAATAATTATTTCTAAGGTAATTCTCCGATCAAAGAAAACGGATTTTGTTCGTTCTATCAGACGATGTACATGTTATAATTTGATTGAATTGGATATCATGATATGCAGAAAGGGGGATACGATTGAACAAAAATGGCAGCATTGAATGGCCTTAATAATAATTACAAATTTTATACTTATGTTTCTATTTATTCAATGTCTGATAAACTTGCTAATTATTCAACTTTTTTATTTGCAGAAATTTAAAATAACTGGTTACAAATAAGCTCAAGAGATAAACACAGATAATCAAAACTCCCGAAAATCATGCCGTGTGCATGTATGTTTGTCTACTAACTACATGTAGCTATGTAAGCATTGAAAAAATGTTTATTTCTTTGTAAAAAAAATATTTATTTTCAATTAATTGATTTCAAGATTATCTTCGCCACAATAAGAAGTAAATAATAATTAAATCAGATTTTTCAGAAAGGTGTAAGAGATCTAAATACGGTTTATCATGATCACAATATTGATCGCGCTATTTGACGAGAACTTAATATTGTACGACTTATTTTATTGCTTGTTTATGAGCGATAATTAGTTCGTTCTGCAATCTATTATGTAAATTGTGCTTTTTCATTTTATTTTGATTTTATTTAATAAATTAAGAAAAACAAACAAGGGAAATGCTTATTTTAGAAATAACACTTCAATAAAAACTTACAAAACGAAATTTACACGATTCTAAACGCACGATCTTGCACGATTAAAAACGCACACGATTGAGTCTGATACACGAACGATCTTGCACGTTAAACGAACGATCACTCACGATACACGAACGATTCTACACGATTGGTTTGTCAACAATAACGTTCCAGCCACTGTAGATATGTTTATTGAATAAGAATTTACTTTATACTAAAATATACTAGAACTGGTTTTGATAATCATAATGAAAAAAATATATTCTTTGAAATTAGAACACTCCCTCCCTACATTGTAAATTACTTTTTAAGTGAAAATGAAAACACAATTAGTATAAACAACTTATTTTATTCTTTAGCATGAGTTTTAAAAGATGATTAAAAAAAACTTGTGACTTGTTCATTTTAACTTTTGTTAATATTTTTGAAAATAAATCTAATATAAAAATGTATCTTCTTCATTTGGTCTATCCAAAGACCTCACAGAAAAGCATGTCGACCTTGCATTTCGTGCGCGGCCAACGTGCTTTTATGTGAAGTCGATATATCTATTGATCGACCTCATGAAAGGGCCATATTGATTTAATATCTACTCACCATCTATGTATGTTTCAACAGCACATACTTCCACTAGGGTTCCTGATAAATCGGTAGGTAGGCAGTGATACTTGAATTTGGAAGGACTTGAACACGTCTGTTGTTCTGCAAGTATCTCACATTTTTTTATCTGTGCACTTCTATTTGTACTTTCTTCATCTTCTGGGCACTTTTTTACAATTTCTTCTGTCCTAGCGGACAAAGGACAGCGCTGTGTTGCCGAAAAAGTGAGCTACAAAATTTTAATAATACGCTTTGTGAAAGAATAAATTTTATTTTTTGTTCATGTTTAATTTTTCATTGCAGATCACAATCAAATAAAGTGAACACAACATTGGTATTAACTTAAAACTTACGAAAGTTATCAGCGTGTATAGCAAAAGAATATAGGGATGCTTCAGAATCTCCATGCTTGGGCTTGGATATCACCGCATCTGGAAAAGTTCTCAAAATTTAACACTTTCTTGTTCTTAGCAGGCCCTGCTAGAATAATCGCAACTTGTTTAATAGTATACTCAATTTCTAAATAAATGATAATATGGTTCTGAAATATTTCCCTACAGTTATTACATTATATCTCATATCTATATAATATATTTCTAGTTATAAGTACAAAGTTTTTCTACGAATCTGTTGAAATTAGATCTATCCCTATATATTTTTAAAACGAGTTTTATTCAACGCAAAAAATAATAATTTTAGTAATAAATCCCTCTAAAAAAATTTAAAGATATGGATATAACGAACAGTATTCAATCTGAAGTCCATAAAACAATACAAAATTGGAGCAGAACAAACACGGACCTCCGAAACATCAGAGGTGGGATCAGGTGCCATGGAGGAGTGAGCATCATCTGCTGACTGGTCACACCTGCCATGTGCTGCTTGCCATGATCAGGAGTTTTGTCTTTATGTTGATTATTTTATTAGGTTAAAGGCATTCACAACCTCAAAAACGAGCAGTTTTACCTTGGTCATAACTTTTGCATACTATTAAATGACATATTGAAGAAGGGGAACCCTGTCGGGGATATGTATTGATAATGCAATACTCTCAGAATGCTTGTTTATTTTCATATTATTACATGTATGAAAAAAAAAGTAAAATAATAAATACATCCTTAAAGAGATCAGCAAATTGCTTTAAGTATTAAACGTTATATAAATATATACAATTGATTGTTTTACAGGAATGCGTTATAAATATTACGGTAGCCTAGTGGTAGAGTGTTTACTTTGTGATCAGAAGGCCTGGATAACCTAGATAGGGACTGTTCCTTCGCTAAGCGCTCGGCATTAAAAGTGGAAGTCATGGGGTTTTTTTATATATGACCTTTATATATCCCGTATCTTGGTAGGCGTTGGCATGATAATAACCCCAACTGCTCAATGACCTTGAGTGCCGAGTATAAATTTGAAGCCATTCAACGGCATTCGATGACGTCTTTGTATGAGTGAAACATTCTCCAATGGAACATTACACAATATACAAACAATCAATCGTTATAAATATTTATTATTCAATTTTTCGTCAATATGCACCTCCCATTTTTAAAGGTATTAAGAAAAAACACCTGATAAAATGCATCCATTACATTTGACGTTAATAATTATAAAGATAATTGTTGAAGATAAAGATAATTGTTGTACACGAACCTTTTGATAATCCCCAATAGAATATTCAAGTCTCATTATTTCGGCCGAGTATAGTTTCTTAAGCATTTCAATTTAAATTTTCAATACTCCTGGATGCTTTCAAATAACTTGCCCAGTGGTTCTTGAGAAGAAGATTTATATTTATTAAAAACCCCTATAATTTCAATGTAAATTAAACTTGAATTCCACATTATGTTCCCGCTCTACCCCGGGGGTCATGGTGTGAAGAATTAAGAATTTACTCTTTTAAAGGATACTTCTGTATAATTCTCAGCTTTTCTAGTCAAGTGGGTCTTAAGAAAATCTAAAAAAAAAAATCCTAATAGATAGATTTCAATGTAGACTTGAATTCTAAATTGTAGTCCGCCCTTCCCCTGGGGGTCATGGTGTGAAAAATTTAAAAATGTACACTGCCAGAGGGTGCTTCTGCATAAGTTTCAGCTTAATTTTCTAACCGAGTGGTACTTGAGAAGAAGATTTTTAAAGTTGTTTTTCCTGTTTATATATTTCTTTGTAAAACTTGGGTCCCCTTTTATGGTCGACCCGCTCTACCCCTTCCCCTTCCCCCTAATATTGATTTGAACAATTTAGAATTTACTCTACTCCAGGATGCTTAAACATAAGTTTCAGTTTTTTTTGGCCGAATAGTTCTTCAGAAGAATTTTAAAGATTTTTCCTATTAAAAAACATGAGTTCCCTGTTGTGGCACAGCCCTACCCCCCGCATATGAACAATTTAGAATCTACACTACCCCAAGGTGCTTCTGCATAAGATTTGACGTTTCCGGCCCAGTAATTAGATATCATGTAGAAGATTTTTAATAACAGCACCTTTTTTCTTGTCTTCATTATCACCTTTTTTGGTGGGTTTTGGCCCTTCATTTAAGTAATTTAAACTCCCCTTCACCAAAGGATGTTTGCTACAAGTTTTGTTAAAATTGATCAAGTGGTTTTTGAGAAGTCGAAAATGTTAAAAGTTAACAAACGGACAGACAAACGAATGGATGGACAGCCAACGGAAAATTTATGGTCAGAAAAGCGTACTTGTTCCCTCAGCTTATGTGAGCTAAAAGTGAGTATTTCATTGATTTTCTATTTTCAAAATATTGAGTCCTGGGGTATAAAGAATTTATACAGATGTAAATACGAAAAAAGCCCTGAAATTAATTGATTCATTAATTTAAAAGTAAAATATATAATACCATGCTTAATTTTCAAAATTCCGTATCTTTTTTATCAAAATACAAAAAATCCCAATTAAAAAAAAAACAAGACACTTTACAAAAAAATCAATCAAGTCATGTCGTTTATAGCCCATTGGTTTTTGTGAAGATTTTTCATTTATGACTTCCTATTTTTTTAATCCGCCCTAGGGTCCTTCATTTTTTTTACAGCTTAAACACCTCTCACTCAAAGGTCGCTTTGGTTTTTGTTACACCTTTTGGGGTTAAAATGGTATAATGCTTCTTGAAGAGAAATGTGAATGTGAAATGTTTACAGACGGATGGACCTTACTTGTGGTTTAATTTTTTTTTTACATTTATAAACTTGTGCCAGTGTAATGGACAGGAAAACTAGTGCGTAAATTTTTATGTATGGATTCATTGTAAACTGTCTTTACCCTAGCTAATTACATAATACAGAATCGGTAACCAAGTACAGGTGTTCTTCGTAATGCAATATTTTTTTCATTATCCTTTTTGAGACCTCTTTGGTCGTTTAAATCTCCATTGAAAAGCATTGCAGCGTCAATGAAGCAAATATATACAGTATAATATGACGGTAAATAGTTTTCGAGGTTATAAATGTATTATTACATGAGATCTCCTTTATTTGCTCAGCATGATTATAATACAGAAAAAAATCCTATAACCAAAGAAAAGTTGCAAACACATCAAATGTATTTTAAAATAAATAATAGTATTTATTACTCAGTTTTCAGTCATTTTTCCTGAAATCCATTCTTGAACTTTACTGCAAAAATCATTGCTTAATATTGCATCAGCCCAAAAAGAACAATTAACTTTATACCATTGTAAAAAGCCATTTTTATTGAATGTTCTGCTCATTAAAATGTCAGACTTAATCTTGTCGATTTGAGACTTACGTGCAAAGTATATCAGTTTTTCATCACAAAGTGACTGTTCTATACGCGGCTTCGGTCAGGTCAGGTCACCTCGTGGGCCAGGTCTCGGGTCCTTATTTCACCAAGGGCAATAAGGGCAATTAATATACAATTAATTATCCCTTTTGAGGTCAACATGGTGAAATAAGGCCCCGAGACCTGGACCACAATAATAAACTCATTGATCTAGTGACCTCGATCAACCACAGTATAAATTTTGTGTTAATTGATTATGAAAAAAAGGAGATTCTCTAACTCGGTTTTCTTTCCTGATTTCTGTTATATTGCATGTGCATGTAAGGTTGGTAAAGGTTGGTCTAGAGTCAGAGTCTGAGACACAATTCAATTATTTCATCTAACGGATTTCGGTGTCACTTTCATGATTAAAGCATTAAACAAAAAGAAAATTAAAATATTCTGCATTTATATATTATGTAATGGATTTTTTTTGTATATTATCTTGTTTACGTCGGCTAATTTATTTGCTACTGAAAAGTACACAATTATATCTGCTTTTCTTCATACATGTAGCTTGTGTACGTTTTCCCCTGTTAATTCCATTTTTATCACTTCATGACATATTCAATAGAAGTCTCAGACTATATATTGGAAAAAATAATTTGAGGGGATTTATCCCCTCCAATTATTTCTTCCAATATATAGTCTTTGACTACTATAGAAAACAGATTTAACTTATTCACTTGCCCCCTCTATTATAAAAAACTCTGAAGACCTTTTATTTTTTGCTTGTCAAGGAATTTTAGTAGATTGTGCCTACTCAGCTGAAAATGTATGACTGTGATCCCCTCCCCTCCTACAGGCCTGCATGATTGGAGTTAAACATTCTCGAATAGAAAATTTAAAAAAAATCATTTTTTTCATTTTTGCTCCTGACTAAAGATAAAAATGAGAAATTTTACGAATGATATATAGCGAATATCGGTCCTGATGACAAAAAAGACAAGTTGATATGATTTCACTTCATCTCATTTACTGCGTATATAATAGGCACTAGCTGAAAGTGTTGACATAACGAAAGTAGAATAACTAAAGGTCCTAATCCATTTAAGAAGAAATTAATTATTTAGTACTTTAAAACATATAATTTTTTTTTCTTTTTTACAATAAATAAGTTTTACCTTTTGTTAGGTAACCGAATGCAAACAACTCGTGTTCATCACATCTGGAATTCCATCTTAACAAACGTCACGCGCTGATTGGGATGTCGCTTAACCGTGGAAAGGCAAACAGAAAAAACCTATTTATTCACCGAACACAGGTATAACTCAGATATACAAAATAATATTTGAAGTATATGTGGAAAAAGCGACTGGGGGGGGGGGGGGCTTTGGTCCTAATCCATTTAAAAGAAATTATTTATTTAGTCTTTAAAACATATAAAGAAAAAGTTAAGACCCAATTTTCAAAGTCTATATTGTATATGTATATTTTCTACTGTTAAAAAAAACTAGAGCTTTGCCAAGCCACCCCCATCCCTCCCGCCAACGACACCTAAGATTCCTTCTGTCAATAAAGATTTACTAATTAGATTCAAATTCCCATTATCAATCGGAATGCCTTATATATCACTTATCTAATTTTGAATTTAAAACAAAGCCTATTTATCATCTATAAACTTATGATCAAGATCATATATTACGAAAGAGGCGGACACAACTTTGTTTTTACATATTTTAAGAAACCAAAGGTGGATCCAGGGTCAGCCTCTCAATACAGCCTCCAGTCCACCACCACCTTGCATCCTATAATGCACTGCGCCCCAATCCCCCATTACTGCATCCGCCACTGGAAAGAAAGCGACATTAAAGTATTAATTTAAAAACAAATTTCAATGCAATTTTAGGGCGTTACATTCCTCCCTACCTGTAAGCAATTCACCCCCATAAAATGGAATAATCACACATTCTATTAGAGTAATACAATGTTGAAAAGATGTAATCGGAGCCAAAGTTTTGAACAAATTCTCTTGCAAAATTGGGTTACACACAAATAAAATGTACTTTAATTGTAGGACACAGATTCTATCTACTAAAAGTACAAATTGTGTTTTCAGAAAAGAATACTCATCTTCAATATATACCTACCATATCAAGTTATTTGTAAAATCCATAATATCGTTCATAACGGGAGTAGGGAGAACAAATGGTCGTTTTACTCACAGGATGTCAGTTTATTTGATTGAGAGTGCTAAAACTTTATATTCTGATTATATTATGGTACTCATCGATACGAATTCAAGTTGAAATCTTTAATAAATATACACTATCATTTCATGTTTCAAGTGACACATAAAAGTATTAGTTTCAGTTCACAAAATATTTTGACTTTTCCTAAGGTCAATTTGTCAAGATAAATTGAGAATGTGTGAAATGCATACCTAAGAGTGTCCCACTTATTTTCCAGAGATTTAAATTATTCCGACTGGTGGAATTTGAGATGAAACAGGTAATGTGTTGTTAAAACCGCTTTAATGCACAGAGGAATGTTGTATATGGAGATAACGATCAAAAGTGCATCAAATAAGAAGCAGAGTAAACACGAACCTTCAAAATCATATCAGATAGCATCTCCAAAATAAAGAAGGCTGAGAAATTTTCAGCAAGAAGAAATAACTTTTTAAATAATTTAAACATGTTAAATGTAAACAATGTCCCAACGTTTGCATGTCTTTTTTTACTGATAATGGTAGATGGGTAATAATAGTTTATAACGGTAGTTATTTATTTTTATAAATTAAACGGTTACTTTGATCAAGTTTAAATAAATGATATCCGAGGAAATTAAGAGACAGAGCTAATGTCTACTGTGACGCTATGTGTATAAGATGTAAAGTTTGATGATAGGAAATTTTGACGAGAAAAAAATCGTCATTATAGTCAAAATTAGCACATTGTCAAAATTACCACTCTTACAGTATTGAATAAACTACCTTCTTATAAATTGCTTTGAACTATCAAACTTATAGTTCTTGAAAAGTTTGTTAATAAATCCAGTTAAAGTTATCTAAACAACCAGCAATGATAACTATATCTATTGGTTTATTATGTTTAACCGTCTCAAAACATTTTGAAAGAACATTGATTATCATATCAACATCTTGGTTGGCTACTCAAATTTGATGCAATTTTCACCATTTTCAGAAACATAACATTTTCATTAGGTCATATTTTGCATTGCAAATCTATTTATTTACAAGGCCAACAAGTACGCAAAAACGTTTTTGCTTATACTATTACCTTGGCATTCTTTTTGTCCTTATATGATCAAAAAATGATATGACTCAAATCTTTGACTCCTAAGTCCACTTTAGGCCTTAAATTGGTGCTTTCTGTTCTTCTGTATTGTTCGTTAGCTGATACACTGTACATGTAATATGTTTGCAAAAATTTTAACATGTTTATAAAAACATTATTTAGATTTTAAGTTTTGTAGTTTTTATAAATTATCTTTCTCACATTTTAGATAAATAAATGATATTAATGCACATTTTCAAAAATAGCATTATTCATGTACAAAAAGTTTTGCAAAGAAAAGCAGAAATAATACAATCACAAGAAAGATAACTGTTGATATTTTATATAATTTTAGATTTTTAAGAAAGTATCCCCTTCTAAGAGACACAGCGCACTAGATTTGCAAAGAGTAAGTTCTTATATCGTGGGTTAGAAACCACTGTGGAGTCAGGAGACCAATCCTTCTGATGCGACCGTTTATGTCAAGGTCTAGTGTCACAGTAAGGTGTTGACAATAAATGGATGTTTTATGTTTTACAATATATCCGAGCAATACATGTATCTCAATGAACTTCTGAGTATTTTATGTTACATTTATGATTATATTTAATAATAAAAACATAAAATAAGTATTTCATCTGATTATATATTAATCGTCTCTTTATAAAAAAAAATATTGTGTATTATATACACATTAACTTTGTCACTGAAATCGGAAAATCATATGGAAAGGTGGCGAGTTTATCTTGAAAAAATATTGTAATAAAAAGAAAGTCTGAGCAAGAGGATACCCACACTTTTCTTGCGAAACATATGATATGTTCTGTAGAATGTTTTTGTCCATTTGAACGTGAGGGTGAGATGTATCTAGAACGTGACATACCTAAATTAACTTTAAGTCAGAGTCTTCCCGGACTTTAAAATGTTCGACTGACCTTAACGTAATTTGGAAGGTGGCGAAAGTTTCCAGTATTGTTGCATAATGGCTCTATGTTATAAATAAGTCTTTTTTTATATCATGAAATCAGGATAAAATTTAATTTAGAGTGAAACTGCACGAACTTTTGAATCAACTTGCGTGCATGTAACTTTCAAATATAAAATCGAAGAGATGCCCAGTCACATTTCAAAGTCAAAAAAAGCATATACGAATCTGGTCCTGTTGTTTACTGCTTAGCTCATTTGAGATAAAGTCTCCGGTAAATTTTTCAGAAACAAAGTTTATCCATAATCATCATTTTTTTTTTTTGGCAAAGTCTTTCCCAATTTCATTTTCTTAGAATATTTTTAAAACTTGGTAAAAATTCAGTTTTTTTTATATTAAGGGCAATGCTTTCTAAAGGATTTATGTTTGTTTTATGTCCCTTTTAGAGATTTCATTACTGCATATGTAAAATATGCATATTTTAATGATTTTTGTTGGCTCAAAATAACAAATACGAGGGCTGTCCAAAAAGTTCGTTGACAATGACGTTTTTGCTAAAATAAATGGATCTATATATATCATTTGTATCAAAATATTTCTAATGAAAATTCAAGTCAGATAGATTTCATTTTTATTGATGTTGCTTATTATTTTTTTATGTAAAAATTGGGGTCTTTAAAGGTCGCGGATATTGCGCACCGACCAAGGTTAAAATGCCATAAACTTTGAAATAAAGTGTTTGGAATAAAATGAGTATTTTTTTTTTACATAAAACACGTCAAAGCTTAATTAAAATTATATGTAACACAACTAAAAAGGCTATAATCATTTTTGTTCATAAAACACTGATATTATATTAAAGCATTTTAAAGTGGAAAAGGATTGCCCGCGAGAAAGTTTTTAAATTGTCATTAATTAAGCAGTATTTAATTAACAAAGATTGCATTGAAGTCTATGGGGAAAAACATCTTTTATTAAAAATAAAAATTCAATAATTTGAATATCAATAAATCATGCGGTGGAAATATGCATTAAAACATTAGAAATAGAATGAAAATTGAAAACAAATTTTTTTATCAGCTAAATTTTTTTAAATTTAATTTTTTTATTAATTAAAAAAGGGGAGATAACTCTTACCAAAACTCAAGGTCATAAATTAGGACAGATCTCACTATACATACTAATAGTAATAAATGGGAAATATGTCTAAATAAACTGAGTATTCAATGCCTACATATCAGATATGTATTCAATATCACTGAATTTGTTCCCATTAGGGATTGAATACCTTAATCTGTGTCAAAACTCGACAGAAAAAGTGACGTTGGCCTTCCGCACGGGGTAGCGTACAATAAAAAAAATATGTTTTATACGGTTGAAGCGACGTCAGAGACAAAATATTTGTTCAAAGAACTCAAAGTTGATAAAATATATTTTGTTTAATGATTTGAGATAGGTAAGTAAAATTTGTCAATGGTGCGTACAAATTTGAAGACACTATAAGGATTTGAAAACCCTTGTTATTTTATGAAATTTGATATTTCTGTTTATGACGTTATTATCAAAATAGTGCAACATCGGAAGGAAATGTGCAGCCTGTGTATACGAATAGTTTGTATTGATGACGCTCATAAATTATTATGTATGTTTTGAATTTTAAAAATTAAATGAATTATAATCTATATTTAAAGATTATTGCTAGCACTTTGCAGTGTGATATAATAATAAAAATGTAGTGTGTGTTCATAAACATGTATTATAAATTCCATTTCCAAATGTTTGACATTATAATGAATTTAGCTTAACGTCAGACTGGTCCGTGCGCACTATCCACAACCTTTAAAGACCCCGATTTTTACAAAAATATAAATTTCCATCAATAAATATTAAATCTTTCTGACTTGATTTTGAATGAGAAATATTTTGATACACATCAAATATATATATATAACCATTCATTTTAACAAAAACGTCCTTGTCCACGAACTTTTTGGACAACCCTCGTATATCACAAT